TAGGCAGATCTCTGTGAGTTTGAGGCCAACCTGGTCTACAGAGTGAGGTTAAAACAACAACAACAACAACAACAAAAAACTGGATCATACCTTTGTAACTTGGTAACTTGCTGAGGTGTTTTGGTTTGCTTTTTCATTCTTGAAAAACATCCAGACCCCACGGGAGGCATAAAGAGTCAACCAGCCTAGCTGTGACTCTCTTTCACAAGTTGGCATAGCTGATGTCATAGCAGTTGTTGGCCTAGAAGAGAGTGCTGTGTGATGCCACCTTAATCAAAGATATTGAATTCAAATAAATACTAAATAAATATCCAAATAAATTATATATATATATATATATATATATATATATATATATATATATATATACTGTTCAGTGATGGGGGTAAGTTCCCAGGCAAACCTTACAGAAAACACAGAACGGAGTACACTATCATAATCATGCTTTTGGTTTTGAATGGATGTAGAAAACTCTGGTGCTGGTATTGCCCCCCCCCCCCACACACACACCATTTCCTGCTTTTCTTTATACCCAGAGTAACAACCACGGTGCATTTACTCTTTGGCCATTTCCTTGTTCTCCTTTCTCCATGTTGCAGAATCCAGCCTGACGCAGAAAAGGGATTTTGGAGAGCGTCTGGAAACAAACATGCTTGGGTTTGAAGTGGGATAGCCAAGTCCCGTCTAGTCAGTGAGCTTAAACAGCACATGGCAGTTTTCACAGAAGCTGTTCATCTGTACACCTGAACCCAGTGTTTACCCTGGACAGGAGATTTGCTATTGAGTCCATCAAATACTGGCTGGGCCCAAAGCCCCCATCCTCTTAGTAAACAGTATAGATCTGTCCAGATGAGCCTTATCTTCTCAACTTGTGGGTCACAACCCCTTTGGGTGTTGAAGGAGTCCAATATCAGATGTCCTGCATATCAGATACTTAAAATTCATAACAGTAGCAAAATTACACTTACAAAGTAGCAAAGGAAATAATTTTATGGTTGGAGGTCATCACAGCTTGAGGAACTGTATTAAAGGGTCACAGCCATTGGGAGGTTGAGAACCACTGATCTATTGGATCATGCCCTGGGAAATCATTGGTAAGTTTTTCTTTAGAATTTTTTAATTTCCTGGGTGCATGGGAACAAACACCCATGATCAAGGAGGCTCAAACAGAAATAGCCGCCTTTACCAGTGTCTCTCCTGAGACCCTCCCTAGCTTGGGATGATCAACAGCTTGAAAGCCTGTAGCCACAATCAAGTTTGTATATGCCTGCAAATGGAGGCAGACAGCCTGAACAACTCAACCCTCTGGGTTTCTCTAGGCTGCTCTAACAAGAAGGGTCCGTAGAATGAAGATGGATCAAAATTCTCCCACCATCTCCTCCAAGGAAAATATCCCAGGGGATACTGGAGCCAAACTTCCTGACAAAAGAAAATCAGGGGTGGTGTGTTTTGTTTTGTTTTTAAAAAATGTCTAATAGTCTAATTCTGCCCAGTGTTTAAGAAAGCAACTGAATGTTGACTTTGGAGGGATCTTGGAACCAGTCTGTCCCATCTACCATGAAATGGAGCTAACTAGGGCTACACAGAGAAACCCTGTCTTGAAAAAAAAAATGAAAGAAAGAAAGAAAGAAAGAAAGGAAGGAAGGAAGGAAAGGGGAAGGAAAGAGGAAGGAAAGAGAGAGACGTCTTGGGTCAGGGTTGCCCTTTCTTTAGCCACATTCCCTCGTCCATCTGGGGCAGGCTGGTGGAGGCTGGACTGAGCAGTGGGAATTTGTTATTTTCAGAGACAGGGTTTCTCTGTGTAGTCCTGGCTGTCCTGGGCTCGCTTTGTAGACCAGTGATCTACAAAGAGATCTGCCTGCCTCTGCCTCCCAAGTACTGGGATTAAAGACTTACCCGACCACACCCAGAAGTGGGGATTTTTTTACCCTGCTGTCTCGGTGTTAGTCTTTCGTTGGGCAATGTTGTCCTTTTGTCCCTCCCTACAGACACACGGACCCAAGTCACCTACAGGGACCATTTGTATCCAAGATATTTGATGCTGCCATGCCTCAAAACACTTCACTTGCCATAAAAGCCACTGTCCGTATCTCTGTGGACCACAGGGGCTCAGAGGGTGCCAGACCCACTCCCTGGGTCTCCTGAGCACAAGCTATGTGATGGCTCTGCTCTGCTCCAGCCACACAGGGTCCCCAAACCCCGGGTTAAGACATTTCCAGTGACCACTAACCCAGCCAGGTTCACAGAATTGGAAATAAAGCTGGATGCAGAAAGGGAGGCGTGTTCCAGACCGTTAGCCCATTACACAGACATCTGAGG